CATGATGAGCTTGCTGTATCCTCAGGCATTTTCTTTTTTCAGCCACAGTGATTTCAAAGTAGAATGTGTATTTCTGTATCAGAAGCTATAGGGCTGACCTTGAAGGAAGTCAAGATATTTAGTTAAAAGTAATATCCTGCTGTAATCCTGTTTTTATTGAAATTTTGCCAAACAGGACATTTGAACATATCCTATGTAGCTTCTTAAGAGAGATTATTTTTTAAACTTAAACTTAATAAATCTATAAAAATTAAAGTATTATACCCACATTGATAATAAAATGATTACCATATTTATTTAATCCTCCAAAGTTTATACCTTTTAAAAAATAAGTACTTTTCCTTGTATTATGATAACATGTGTGTGTGCGTGTGTGTGTGTTTTGCTTTAAGTCAACTTGTTGGTTTTTCTATACTATTTGATCATCTGTTACACATGATTATGTATGTCGTTTAATATGGATTTGAGTTTCTGTATACCAAGGATCATTGCTGATCAATATCTAGAGGAGGTAAAACAACCAACCAGTCAAGGGGCCAAACAGTGGAACAGCAGTAACCTAGGGTGCACAGCCAGGTAGATCCATATGGAAGGGTTCCTGGTTCAAGTGTGGAGAACTCCTGATTGTGCCAGGCATGCATGTGTCCATGGTTGGTGCTGGTAAAGGCTGGGGAGAATTGTGGTCTAAGACTTTGCTGGGGCTGCTGCTGCATCTCTTTTTCTCAGTCATTGACTAGATGCATAAACTTTAAAATGAACAAACAGTATTTTTCTCATAGGACTTAACGAGTTCACATATCATATGGGATCTGTAGTCTTGTTTGTTTGTCTAAGTCAGTATTTTAAGTATTTTGAAGTATTGCCAATGTTTAAATTAGGGTGAGTTCATAAAAAAAAATCTGTAATTTTTTTTCTGTCTTTGAATAATTACCTGATTGGGCAAAGGATGCTTTATATCAATGGGCTGTAACTATTAAATAGAAGCTGTTCTTTTTAGGTGGGGTTTGTATTTCTGTCTCAAAAGAGTTTCTATCTTTCTCCATACTCTCCAACCTCATTGGTGGTTTTGTCATCAGATTTTCACATCTGTTTCTTATGTGGGGCCAGCCCCTCATATTTATGATACTTGCTCAGTGGTGGATGGTGGATGGTTCAGTTTGTGTCCCCTGGAATAAGGACCATAAGTTAGACGGGATTGTCATGGACATGATTCCACATCAGCATGCATCATTCCTCCTCATTCTTCATTGTTAGTTGCCAGAAGGGTGAGAAAGAGGAGAGAGAGAAAGAGGGAGAGAGAGAGGCAGAAAGCACCCTGCAATGGGGCATGCTCCTGCTGTAATTCCTTCTCTTCCCATTTCTCCATCATGTTGGAATTTTGGGCATGTGCATATGCCCTCAGAGTGTTTTTCAAGCTGCCAGGGATGGAATTTGAACTGTAGTAGTAGACAATATGAGATCCAGATTCCTTAATAATTAGGCTGTGGGGCTGGCCATATCTATTCTTCTTAATGGCTGTGGTGTAATTTATTGTTTGGAGATTCCATAGTTTACTCAACCAATTTCCCATTGTTGAATAAGTAGCAATTTTATATGAGTTGCTAGTATAATTAATGCCAGAATGAATAAATATCATTGTAAATATAGATGTCTTTGCTTCCTTATGTGATATATCCAAAGTATAAATTTCTGGAAATAAAACTATTAGCCTTCAGTCTGTAAGCCTTTTCTATTCATGGATTCTGCTATAGGGCACGTGTGCTCACCAGAGGCAGAGAGAAACATATAGCCATAAAGTGAGAAATCACCCCCTAGGGGAAATGGCTATACAGCCATCTCTTCTTCATTTTCCTCTCGGGATCTTGAACATGCACACATACATACCTGGCATGGGTTTTAAGCTGATGGATCTGGGAATCTAAACATGGGAGTCCAGCAATGTAACCATTACTCCATCTGCTATCCCCCATTCTTGGTATTTTAACATGCTTATTTATGGTTGAAAAGATAGAAAAGAGCTTGATAGGTAGAAATAAAATAATGAAACTTGAGTTCAATATGTGTTAAACTTGAGTTAATTTTATTTTAAACAATGAAACTGAAGAGAAATGAAAGAAATCGTTGACGTTCATATACAACTTTCTTTACCTTAATAGATCTTATTCCCTAAATACTAACAGAGATTAAAAAGTGTATAGTCGACCTTACATTTTAGTCAGTGTTGAGTGTAGACTCTGTTGTAAAATTCCATCTTCCTTTCACTTGTCTCCTTTTCTTCATGATAATATTTTTACTTTGCCAGTTGAAATCACTTCTCTGTGGTCATATTTACTCAGTTCCACAAGTCTAGCCATGGTTATGTACTCAAAGAGGCAGTGCTCAGCCACATGCCGGCAATGCCTGTCCATTCCTCTGTGTGTGTAGATAGACAATTTTAAGTAAAAAGTAGTTTTCTTTTTTTCTTTCAAGACATTAGAATTATCAACTTACTATCTTGTTTCATTTTGTTTTTTGCCAGAGGGTGTCTCTGTTCCCCAGAGAGAGAGGGGAGAGAAAGGAGAGAGAAGGTGGAAAGAAAGCACTTTTAAATGTAGCTTGGCTAGGTTGCAGTCCCTTCTCTGTTTCATCATCCTCTAAGGATTTGGGCACAATGCCTAACAAATTTCTCCAGCTGCAGGGTGGGATTTGAGGCACACATGCACTGGTGCCTGGTGTGTTTTTCAAGCAACTGAACTTAAGACTCAAACTGCAGAGTCAGCCTTGTGGGATCCAGTGCCTTAATCACCATGCCACCTGCTTGCCCCAAGTTTATTTAGTCATGATGAAGAGTATATGCAAGAGAGAGAGAGAGAGAGAGAGAGAGAGAGAGAGAGAGAGAAAGAGAGAAAGCATTCCCCCAGTGGGGCCTTATCACACCACAGACTTTTTCCTCTTCAATTATATATTGCTATTAGTATCCTGGGCATGTGAGATCAAGCTGTGTTTAGCTGATAGGCTAGGATTTGAACCCCTTTTGTCCATGTGAGTTCCTGTGCATGGTACAAAACCACTGTGCCATGGAACTGGCCCAAATTAATTGTTTTATTGCTTTAATTTGCCAGAGGACACATGTGCTTGCTAGAGAGTGAAAAAGAGGGAGAGGGAGAAAGCACTTGACATCGGGCATGGTCCCAGTGGAATCCTTTCTCATTTTCTCTCTTCTTTGGGGATTTTGGGCATGCATGTACTTGTGCCCGGCATGTTCTTCAGGTTGCTGGGTCCATGACTCTAATTGTGCAGTTGGCCATGTAGCATCAACTCTCTTAACCACCAGGCCACTGCTGGTCCTCAAACTTATTTTTAGTTTAGTTACTGTATAGTGTAAACATTCGTAGAAAGAATATTTTTTCTGTTTGGCTAAGCTGAACTTCATTAGTTAGCTTGTCAATTTTGTAAGTTCCTTCTGTGTTTCCTACCTAGATTTACTCATGTTTTTGGGAATCAGTACTCAACTCCCTAGAGTCTAGGGACATACAGAGTTTATTGGCACTGCTCAAATCATCCCGTAGTTATTGAACTTTCACTTCTGACAGACAGCACCTGTCGCATGGTTTACTTCTCCAGTCATAATAATTTCTTCTTAGTTTGCTTCTACCCAGATGTAGTGGATATAAATTAAAATAGGTAGTATTGTGTGTGTACCAGTACCAAATCCCAGCTGAATGGGAGAGGGTCAGGAGTAGCCATTTGTTGTTCTTGGTCCTGCTCAAGAATTTTTTTCTTCTTGCGGCCACAGGCTTCTGTAGTTGACATGATGTATGTTCTTGCCATGCTTAGTTGTTTAGTGCGGGGCCACATAAACTGCACCCTGCAGGCCAAGTTTGACTGCTACCTGATTTTGTAAATGTGGTGTTATTGGAACAGCACCACTCCCATTCATTAACATGTCTGTGGCTCTTTCCACGCTTCAGAGACACACTTGAGCACTAGTGACAGAGACCATATGGCTTGCAAAGCCTAAAATAGTTAACCTTTGTTTCTTTGTAGAAAAAAATTTGCTGAACTTTGTATAGGGTACTTTTATTTTTCTTGCTGGATTTTGAGTATCTTATTTTCATTTTCTTAAGAATCAAAGGAGAGAGAGGAAGGGATTCATTCTCTTAATAATACTGCCTTGACATGGAAGTTCCTGTTTGCTGGTATTTTAAAAATACATGGAATAACACAGCCATAACATTTTCTCTCTTATTTCAAAATATTTAAAATTATAGGAAATGCTGGGTGTATTAATTTGACTTATGTGACATAAGAATGAGTAGAAAAGGGGTCAGCAGGTGGCATGGTGGTTAAGGGTCTGGATTCCCACATGACCAACCGAAGTCAGAGTTTAGGAAACGGCAGCTTAAAAATTACACTGGGAGTATATGCGCCCAAAATTTTGAGACGAGAACGGAGAAGAACAATGGCATGGCCATTACCAATCCCCCCTTTGGGAGGGTGATTTCTCACTTTCTTTTTCATTGTCTCTCTCTGAGTCTCTACAGTATTACACACACCTAGGACAAAGACTTAAAAAAAAGAGTGATTAGGAAAAGCAGTGGCGGTGGCGGGGCAGATGATGACACAGCAGTAAAACATGACACTACAAGGCGATCCACCTAGGAGTGTTCCATCCATGTTCATGGCTGTTGACCTACTTTAGTATGTATGCCTTTTATCTGAGACAGGCTAAAACCGGGGATAGATTGAGGTGTTACAACCTTGTTGAGGGTTTTGTCTCTTGCTCATAGGAAAAATATTAAACAAACTTAAACAACAAAGAGTGATTTTATCCTTCTTGATAACTTCTACCGATAAATGAAATTGTTCATATTTTTTCTGCCTAATTATGTTTTGGTTTTGTTTTTGTTGGTGTTTTTGTTTTGTTTTTAGTTTTGGTGAGTAAGACTAAAGCAGTTACTTAATTATAGTATCTTTTACCTCTTAGTTTTCTAACCTATTTCTTTTGCACTTTTTCAAAGGTATAAGCACTTTAGCCAGATTCTGAGCACCATTGGGGAGAATGAAGGTGGCATTGATAAGTTTTCCAGAGGCTATGAATCATTCGGCGTGCACAGATGTGCTGATGGTGGTGTATACTGCAAAGAGTGGGCCCCAGGAGCAGAAGGAGTATTTCTTACTGGAGATTTCAGTAAGTATTTTGAAAGACTTGAAATCAGTAGTAGTATTTCATTTACCTATTTAAGATACAGACTTGTTATATTTCATGTACTGAACTATATAAAGATCAGTGATTACAAATAAATATCCGACTTTTCAGATAGAGCCGTGTTAATCTTTGCTGTTCTAGTTTATTGTTTTGTTAACAGAAAAATTCAAGTCTGGTGGTTTATAAGAATAGAGTCTAGGGGACCGGCAGTTAACGTAATGGCTATGTCGCTGGACTCCCACGTAGTTGACCGCGGTTCACGTCCTGGACCCGGTGGCTTAAAACTCACGCTGGGCGCATGTGTGTGTATGCCCAAGATCCCGAGAGGAGGAGGAGAAGGGATGGCGTGACCATCCCCCCCGGGGGGTGGTTTCTCGCTTTCTGTCTCTATGTCTCTCTCTGTCTGTCTGGCGAGCGCACGCACCCTATAGCAAAAAACCTCTCCAAAGAAAAAAAAAAGAATAGAGTCTACAGTTTTGGAGGTCCAGGGTGAAAGTGTGGCACCTTATGAGGGTCTCCCTTCTTGCTAGTGGATGACATGACTGTATTCTAGAGAGACCTGAGACATCTCTGGGTATCAGATGGTAAGAGCTTGAGAAGAGTAAGAATAACTTTGTCCATGTCTCTGTCTTGCTTTTATCTCTTTATTAAGTGACAATGAGTCAATCATGGGGTCCCTACTCTGTTGACCTTACTCCTAATGACATCGCAAAGACTCCACCTCTCAATCCTATTGTCCAATTAAGTTTTCACACACTGAATCCCATTAACTGTGATTCACCAGCTTTCAATATGTGCTCAGAGTTATATGGTCTCAGGGTCTCTTTGTGTAAGGGAATCTCAGTTTTTTCCTGTTAAAGAACTTTGACTTTAAAAGAAAAAAACAAAAGCAAAAACAAAAAAACTTGAAAATTGAGAGTGGAACCAAAACTGGAGGCCTATGATGCTTTTAAAAGATTTCTTTGCGGAAAAAATGTACATGTGGACACTAAGTCAATATGTCTTTATAGAACACAGAATTTTGAAGATGATAATAATCTGCCTGAAAATATATCCTTAAATAACTATACTGAATTAACCATACCTTAAAAAAATACAATTAGGGGATTCAGTATTTTGTTTTGCCCCTATTTACATGAAATTCACATTTTCTTTTCTTTTTTTTTCTTTTTTAGTGTTTTTTTTTTCCTTTTTAAATATATTTTATTTTAATTTCTTTTGCACATTCAATCACTATACATCACTTAGCTTATAAAGTGAATTTTCCAACATGAATACCCTTCAGCCAGTCCAGTTGGGGGTACTATACACTGTTCACATTTTTTGTTTGTTTGTTTTTCTTTTTTTAATTTGGGCTTTTTTTTTTTTTTTTTTTTTTTTTTTTTTTAACCATCCTTGATTGATTTTCTATCTCTCACCCTCTCCCATGTCCCACCTTCCTCCCACACTGTCTCTGGTATCCATGGTTGCTTTCTATGCCTTTTCCCTCCATTTTATTGATTCACTAATGAACTTAATTAATCTATTTCCAATAGCAAGCGCAGCTGATATATACATATCCATGAACACAAGTCTGACTTTAGGCATAAACCTCAGTGAGTAGAATGAGCATACTATAAAGTAGCACCTAGCTGGGGCTTTATAGCTTACTGCAGACATCAAATATGCATTTTTTTAATTTCAAGAAAAACAGTTTTCATGTTTTTTTTTTTCCTCCTGAAACTTTTTTTTTAAATTAATTAATTTACATTCATCCCCTAATCATCGTCATAGCATACAATATGTGGTTTCCCATCCAGAATATACTGTATAGTGGCTTAATCATGTATGTTATCTTTAATAATGTTTCATTTCTAGTTATATATATATTTACCTCTATGTCTGACCCTCTGCCCTTTCCCACCCTCTTCTCACACTATCTCTGGTGTCTACGGTTGTCTTCCATTCCTTTTCCCACTACATTTTATTGATCACACAATTTTTTAAATAATCAAACTACTTTCAATATCAAGTTCAGCTGGTAATTTCAAGAAAAGCAGTTTTGAATTGGTAAGGAAATTTGCTAAAAACTTAAAAGCCTGGAAACAGGTTAGAATTCTGTTCAAATAGTAGGTATGTGAACCTATTGACATCTCAAGACAGGACAAAAACTCTTAAAATTGGACAAGAAAGCCTAGAAGAAAAGCAACAGTATTTTAGTCAAAAGTCACAGAATGCTATTTCACCAGTTTAGTCTCATGTTCTCAATCTGTCTTATCCTGTGGTTTGATCTTCTCTATTGAATTCTGGGATATAATATTCAACTCCTAACTTGTCCCTATGATTAAGTTGGCCATTTTCTTAGTTTTTGAACTCTTATTTCTGTGTGTTTGCATTTAATTTTTCTGACATAGCACTCTCTTGAGAACACCTTGGAGATCTGGTCTGGTGCTGGTAAATTTTTTCAGGTTTTATTTATCTGCAAATGTTCTTGTCTTTTCTTCCCATCTGAAGGATAATATGGCAGGGTATAGTATTCTTGGTTGAAACTGCTTTTCCCTTAACACTTTGAATATATTTTTATATTCTTTCCTCACTTGCAATGTTGCCACTGAGAGGTCTGCTGTTAGTCTGATGGAATATCCATTGTAGGTAACTTGCTGTTTTTCTCTCTTGCCAATCTTAGTGTCTTGTCTTTGTCTGTGGTTTTGGTCAGTCTGGCTATGATGTGTCTTGGAGAAGATCTTCTTGGGTTGGCTCTATTTGTGGTCCTTTGTATTTCTTGGGACTAGATCTTTGAGACGCTGTCTAGGTTTGGAAAGTTTTCTTGCAGGATTTCATGAATTAGATTATCAATGCCCTTATGAGTTTCTTTGCCTTCTGTGATGCCAATTATCTGGATATTTGGATGTTTGATGGTATCTTACCTAGTATTTCTCATATATTATCCTCAAATTTTTGGGCAATTTTCTCAGTCTTCTTGGTGGATTTTTCTAGGCTAGCAATTTTCTCTTCTACATCTGAGATTGTATTTTCTCTATGATCTAATCTGCTTTTAATACTTTACAGGGAGATTTTGACTTCCTGTATTATAGCCTTCATCTCTAACAGTTCCATTTGATTCTTTTGTAAAGTGTTTAATTCCTCTTTTAGATCTTGCAAGAATTTCCTTACCTCCTAGAACTCATCAGCTCCTTCCTCCTTTCTCTTCTGCAGTTCATTGTCTCTTCTCTTCCATCTCTGTTAGCTTTGCCATTATGAATATTCTAAGTTCTTTATCAGACATTTCCATGATTTTCATTGAACTGTCTGTGGATGAAGAAGAGTTATTCTTTTCCCTTGGAGGAGAGGTATTCTCTTGCTTTCACATATTTCTTGTGGCCCTGCAGTGATTTCTAGTCATCTGATGGATGGTGTGTTTCTTCCCAAACTTGAACTTCAATCTGAGCCTCCAGGAGCATGCAGAACAGGAAACAGAGGGAGAAACAACAGCAACAAAAACAACCAAGAAATAGAGAAAAAGAGAAGAAAATAGCTAAGAAAACTAAAAAAAAAATATTTTTTCTTAAAAGCAAAAATTAGAAAAGCATGCGTCATCCAAATGTGTCTTGCAAAATCACTAGTTCTTGGGAGCCATGAAGGTGTCTTCTGAGGGTTGGGAGGAGGAGAGGGGATTATTAACAAGATAAAGGGGATGGAGCGGTTGAAAGCTGAGAAAATGCTTTACCTTAAAAAATTTTAAAAAGAAAAATTACAAAAACATGAGAAGACAGAGACAGAGGCAGAGAAGGCTTGAAGGAGCTCCTACCACTCGAGTTTGTGGTCTGGAGGCTGAATTATCAGTAGAAAATCTTCATTTCTTTTTTCCCTGAAATCACTAGTTCTCAGGAGCCATGAAGGTGTCTTCTGAAGGCCCCCTTGCCTCTCCACTCAAGTTTGTGGTCTGGAGGCTGAATTATCAGTAGAAAATCTTTCCTTTATGAGAGAGAGAGATGGAGATAGAGGAAAATAGAGAGACAGAAATAGGTATTTTGGCAGGGTCTCCCTGCCTTGCTATCCTAATGCTTCTATTCCCTAATTAGCTAGGAGGGCAGTTGTGTACCACCATGCCCAGCTTGCTCTGGTCAGCCTGAGAACTGAAACTGGACCATCCACGTGGCTTCCAGGCTCTCAAAGTGGTGACGGTAATTGTGCAGCAGTGCAGGTGGACTGGATTAGAAAATTGTACCGCAAGTTTTCTAATGTCTAAATTTGTACTACACTGAAAGGAAAAGAAAATGAATGTACAGTACAATAGATTTTTTTCATTGAAAATTTAAATGAAGATTTATTAAAATGTTATTCTAGGTGGTTTTGGTAATGTTATTACATGTTTTTAAAAAGCATTTAATAGTATTTATATGATGTCATATTATCAACTGTTGAGTTGAAACAGCAGTATATTTGGAAGAGTCTATATAATTATTCTCTAACTGCAACAGTATTTGTAAGAATTCTACTCCTTATCTTTTCATCTAATGTCATAGTAAGGTTAACTTCTTAATATGTATTTGCAATATTACCTAAAGAAATGATTGCTTTTTTACCTATTGATAACAATTTAAAAAGTAACATAATTTTACTTATATTTTTACTATGAAACTTTATATATAATTTATTGATTTTAATTTTTTCTTTCTCTTTTTTTTTTTTTTTTTGTGCGTGTGTGTGTTCACTGGAGAGACAGAGTTAAAGAGAAGGGGAGAGAGGGAAAGTGAAAAAGCAGAAAGCAGTCCTGAGGGGGATTGCCATGCTACAATGCGTTCTCTATTCTTTTCTTGGGATTTTGGGTATGCATGCACATGTACGTGGTGTATTTTTCAAGGTACTGGTTCCAGGACTTGAATTTCTCAGTGACCCATGTGGGACCCAGCCCCATTCACCCCCTTGCTACCTATTCACTCTGTGTGTGTAATTAAAACACGACATTTGTGCCCATCCTTTTATTTGAATCACCAAATATA